AGCCCGACAGAGACACCCTCTGAGCACAGCTCAGAATGCTGCTCCTTGGAGGCTCTCGGGAGCGAGGAGCTGCTCCCTCCACCTTCGTGTGGCCGTGGGAAGGCTGGCCTGGCGAGATCGGGAAGGAGAATACCTGGCTCTCATCCCATGTGCACCCCAGGGTGAGCAGAGGGAGGATAAAGTGGCTGCCCCTCCACAGTTCTGTGTCACCTCTGGACAAGAGAAGAGTGACGTGAACAATCCCTTCCCTCCAGCTGGACACAGCAATTTTCCAGCTTCGCTGAAACCCAATTCCTTCTCATGATGAAGCGGACATGCCAGCCAACGCACTGGCTGCCCCAGGCAGCAGATAGTTACCAAGCCGACAGACATTTATGCTCACAGATAAGAAACACAACCTCGGGGTCAAACACAGCCTGGACTCTGGCTTTTCACCCTTACCAACACACAACTTCATACCCACGCTGCCGGCGTCCAGGGACCCAAGTGGTGTAGCTAAGAAACATTTTAATTTGGGTTAGATTTGTGCCTTTGCAAGTTCCCTAATGGCTCAAGTCAAGCCAGCTCCGCTTGGTGTGTTATGTGTAAGACTGAGGCGAGCACATGGCTGCTTTCAGCGTGGGGTGAGTGAAGGCTGCATTGCCAAAGCAGGACGCAGAGCGGGGGAGCGCTCCCTACTTCCTTTTGCTGACGGCTTTCTGGCCTGTCCAACCTGACGGGCCTCAGGCTCTGTGACTCAAGAGGGTCTTAACCCTTTATCCCAGAGAGTCCCGGTAAGATGCAAACACTGTAATTAAAAGGGCTTTTCCCTGAGAAACACCATGTCCATTTCAAATCTAAGAGGCCATTAATGGAAAGCATCTTTTAGAGATCTGGGGTGGTGTCGTAGGAGAGTTTGTACTGAAGAAGTGGAATATGCCCACCATCAATCTTTCCTGGGAAGTCCATCCAAAGGTTACTGCAAAGCTCTCAGCCAATGGAATGCACACGTGCGTGCACCACTCAGGGCTGGAGTCCGGCTCTATCGGGCCGAGGGCTGTGTTCCCCACACTGATCTATCACGGCCCTTCCAGCTCCCTTCCTCCTTATCTAACTTAAATACTGAGATAAGCTGCAACAGTCCTGAGCCTTGCTAAATTAGTTCAAATATTTCAAGTTCTGCCAACTCACAACCCCACCCCCCACGGTTTTGGGTCTTGACTAAAAAGGTGAAGAAATATTTTGGAGGAAACTCAGGGCCCAGTTTCATCAATCTCCATGTGCTCCTCTCCTGAAATCCATGCAGCCCAGAGCCTCTCACACTATCACAGATGGTATTTAGGGAAATAAACAAGCAAGTCAACAGCCCTGCGTGGAACACTCCTCTCTCTTCGGTGGTATTTTGCCTTCTGTTGTGAAATGGCTGCTCCGGGCTCTCGGCAGCTTCCTACCAAAGCGGCTTTGCAAACACTACCGTCCAAGCCCAGTGCGCATGCCCAGAGCTGAGCACGGCGGGTGGGTGCCCGGCTTGGCCCGGTCTGTTTGAAGGGCGACAGGCTTCTCCCCGCGGCTTCCATGGCACCACCAGTGGCTGCATCGGTGCCATTTTCATAAACTTTACTTGGGAACAGACAAATGTGACCCAGTACACGTAGATGAGATGATGCAACCTGAGCCAGCAGAACGTTGCCTTGGAAAAGGCTTCTAATTTCGGTTCCAAACCACACATACTTGTACAGTTAACAAATGCAGCAGGGGCTATTGGTCCACAGCATTCATGTGGAGGCCAAGGGCTCTGCTGTCCTCCGCCCTCCTCTCCCCACCCCCACCTGCCTTCCCGAGAACTTGTAGACTGCGTGGGAAGTTCAGAGACCAGTCAGGGGGCTGTCTTTCTGGAACGCTTGCATGCTCCAACCAGGAGAGGAACTCGGACGTGTTTTAATCTAAAAGGACTCACGGAGGGGGTTCCCTATAAATAACGCCGTGTTCCAATAAACACCAAGAGGAGCCAGTGTTTCCTGTAAGGCCACTTTTCAGATGGATTACTGGAAGGAGTATTCCTTCACAGTTTTATGGCTTTCTTTGCTCTCATCTGCTTAAAATTTGGGTCATTTAAAACATAGATGCTAAGATCTAAGCCTTTACTTGGATGAAATATTACAGAGGAAGCGGCAAGTCTCATTCCAAGAGCCGACTCAGAGGCAGAACTCTTGGACTCCTGGGTTCTATTCCTGGCTCAGTCCCTGGGCTCAGGTCAGCGCTCGGTCAGCATCTCACTTCTAATCCCTTCAAATCATTTGTTAGTCCCTGTTGTCTAAACAGTGGGGGAAACCCTGCGTAACGCCCCTGGACCCTGTTCAGTCAACAGGGATGGCTATATCTTACTTCCAAGAAGCCAGGGTGACGCGTCCCGGAGCAGAGCTAGCATGCTCCTAGGAGACCGCGGTGTCATCTGGCAGACCCTCAGGCTCTGGAACATTTCTCCACCTGCAAGAATCGCTGCTCCTTTCATCTGTGACCTGCAAAACCAGTCTCACCCGGCATTTTCTAGTTCTTTATAGCTTCGCATTAAGTAACTCTGGTTATTGAAGCCTCAAACCTCTGAGAGGCAGAATAAGTAAACAGGGATATTTCTCCCTAGTTTATAGATGAAAACTGAGGCTTAGATAGGCTAGGAGACGGGATCAAGGGCCCAGAGCTAAGAAGGAAGGGGGCTGTGTTCTTTTCTCTCTCACATGTGGGTCCTCGTTAAGAACTCCGCTTCCGGACCCAGGGGAATGGACTGAGGGAAGCTGGTTGAAGTGTTTCAGGAGCCTCTGTGATGCCTCCCACGTGCAATAAGGGGTGAAGGGCCATGTTTCTGGGAGGCCCCCGATGAGCATGGGTTTAGCACGTGTCCCACTCACCTCCGAGAGCTTCAGCCAGGGTGCTCCCACTCCTGGCTCCTCTGGGAATAGAGAGGAGATGCCGATGCTTAATGCCCCCTCCTTTGAGCTTCCAGGACCACAGGCCCATGACTCCGATGCGCCTCGCTTATCACTGAAGCTTTTGCTTCCAGGAGTGAAAAGTTAGGCAGATAGCTGCTCTATCCAGTGAAACGTCATGAAACTGCCCAGTTACTGTTTGCTTTGAGGCAAACTACAGAGCCTCTCTGTCCCCTTTCCCAGGAACACGATTCTCTTGTCACCTGGCCAACTCCTACTTGCACTTTAGGCTTCGTCGCAAACACCACTTCCCTGGAAAAGCCTTTCTTGATCTGACTGACCACAGCTCTGACAGCCAGCCTTTCTTCCCCCTTCATCTCCTCTCATCACACAGTCTCATAGCACCTGCACATCGCCTGTGCCATTTATCCTAACTTTAGCAAATAATTCTTTACAGGGTTAGCTGCTTTATGTCTGCTGCCCGCCTTGACTGCAGCCCTTTGAGACCAAGGACAGCCTTGCTCTCTATAGCTCGGCTATGTTCCCAACCCCGAGTTCTTAGGGACTTTTCAACCAGTATTCACTGACTGACCATGCCTGAATGGCAGGCATATGCTGGCTGGCACCAAAGTGAACCTTCTATGGCCGTGCTGGACAGCGGGTAAAGCGCCATGAACACCAACCATTGTGCCCTCCCTGTGCTCCTACAAAGAATGCAACATTTTACCGAGACTTCCACACTCACAGCATAGAAAAGCCAAGTGATTTCTTCCTGGCCAGGTCATTAAAGTTACCATCACAAACTAAGCTTTGTAAGTGTTAACACGTATACCTCAGACTTTTTTTTTGAAACCACTCACTCAATTCCTTGACTGGTTTGGGATTCTAAGAATAACGATGGTTCCTTCGGAACACTTTACTTTCACTTCTTTAGTCTCATTGTCCTAGCAAGAAGCTGGAGGTAGACTTCTTGGGCTTTGAGCAGACATGGAAAAAGTAACTGAAAATACTTTTGAAGGCTCTCCCTTCCCCTCTCCCTAATTTCATAAATGGTTCAAAATATACTCCAGGGCTGGTTGGGCTCTGTGTCTGAGAATAGAATGTAAGTTAACTAAAGTAAGCGCTACAGATCTTTTTAAAGAGCAGCTGCTTCCAGATGGAAGACCTTCTGGCAGAACACAGTAATGTGTCATAGGGAACGTTTCCTGGTGACAGACAAGTGGACTCCTTTTCATTGGGGACGATTTTTCTTCAAATCCTATATGAGGGAGCGAGAGGGTGTGGACATGGTCCAGGCCCTAGCATTCGAAAGGGCACACTAATTCACTCAGGGACCATCTATTAAGCAGGCAGCGGCAAAATCTTTCTGGGCTTAAGTGGAGGCCAGCTTGGCTGGGAGCTGTAATATTCATTACCGCGTAGCCTTTGTTGATAAGATCCCCAATTAGTCACTGAAAAAGGGGAGGCTAATCTAGGCCATGCAGAAAAATAGCTAAGTTAGAGTAGTCGAATTCTTGGGATTTGGAGCCAAATGGGCTGTGGCTGATGTCCTGCCTCAGCGGGTATCAAGGTAAGAAAGCATCCTTCCGCAGAAGTGCCCGCCTGGTGGGGAGTTTTATGAGGTGGGGACTAGATGGCAGTTTCAAGTAGAAGAACTAGGAAGAGACGGACCCACGTGGTGAACTGCAACTTCAGGGATTCCAGAACTATGCCATGGGGCTCAGGAGCAAGACACCGCCGAACAGCCGGCTGGTTTTCTTAAAGGGCAGGAGGGGATCTGGTTAGTTTGGTGAGCAGGGGAAGTTTATAAGAATGCAATGCTAATTTTTGACCCCTCTAACAAAGAAAAACAACATTATGAGTGTGTATCCAGTAAATACAGATACAGACATAGACGTGGATCTGCAAAAGTGCATGCCAGATTTGTGTGCCTTGTTTTCATGTATTTATGTTAGGCAAGTCGGAAATGTGAATTGCGTGTAATCAGATATTGAAAAATCATATTATTAAAGCAGGTGAAACACAGCAGGATGGATTAGGAGAGGCAGCAGACCTGGGTTGGAAATTACAAAAGCCATTCCCCCCACGACCACTGACCTGGGGCCACTAAGCGTGGCTGTGTCTCTCACCGCCTGGGCTGTTTCTGATGCAAAATCCAGGGCGCCCGCCACTGGCTTGGTTACAGTGCCAACAAGCCCTTTCCCAAGGCCAGATATGAAACCGCTGACACCCCCTTCTGTTTTCACACCTTCCACTGTTGAGGTTATAACACTGGTCAATCCACCAATGATACCTAGCAAAAAAGACAAGGGCTATTTGTAACCGGGCCGAGAACAAAAGCAACAGCACTTCAAGCCAAACCCCTCAGTTCCATGCACCTGTCAGGTAACTCGGGTGTTTCCTCAATCTCTTGACAGGCCACAGGCAGGCCAACTCAAGGTGGGGAACCAGCAGGTCTGCCTCTTGTTTGGAGTCAGAGAATGTATATTATATAGTAGTCAGAAGTAAAGCATGTTCCAGTTTTAAAAATCAAAGAAAAGCTAAGAGTTTAAAAGTGGTATTTTTCAGTTCCAGAGCATGGGCAGCATATGGGTCACGTAGAGGATGTAGACAGTGGGATTAAATCTAGAGACAAGAAACTAGGGCTCTGGGGGAGACTCGGGGTTCCATAAAATGTAAGGCAGAGAGATAACTAGATACAGATCCTCAGTTTTCAAAGAACACTATGTGACTTGCCAGCACCACTAAACGTTTGAAATGGGTAAAAGCGGTGGCACACGTAGCTGAAAGCAGGTGTAGGCGACCAGAGTAATGACAAAGCCTGGTGAAGGGCATCCTTAAAAAGCTGCTAGAGCCAGCAGCAACCTCAGGGAGTGAGTCTGAAAGATTAATCAAGGTCAGAAAGATATTCCAAACATTTTGAGAGTTGACAGCAATGACCTTAAAGAGCCTCCACAGAGGCCAGAAGTTGGCCGGGCTGAAGAGGACGTGGCCTTCAGGGGAAGCGGGCCCAGTCCGGGGAGCATTTCCGGGTCCTGTGCCAGGGACACTCACAGGATGTTTACCTGGTGGCGATGGGGGTGTGAGGAGGCTCTCTAGATGCTTCAGCTCTAGTGAGACAAATTGGTAAAGGAAGCAGCTTGGGTGAGAATGTACTAACAGTGCACACGCTTCTGGATTCTGGTGCATTCGCCCCCGTGAGGCAATAGCCCTTTCCCGTCCTTCTGAACCAAGTTCATGCAGAGACAGACTCTTTCTGAATTGGGCAAGCAGGGCCTACAGACAGAACTGAGCATGACCCCAGCTTTTAAACCAAGGGACTGTTATCGGTGAAGGGTTTTTTCATCGTGAAAGAAGGATCTCTCAGCTATGCTTTCATGGGTCCCCTTGAGGCCCCTGGTTCTTGTCTCAGAATGAACAGCCTGTATTCTGAAGATGTACGTATTACCTAATGATCCCTGCTTGGAGGGGACTTTTCCACCTTGAAATGATTCCCTATTTTCTCACCACACTGGTGTGTCCATCGAGAAAGTGAGGACAGCCATGCTCTCTGCATCCCAAGGATGCTGGGTAAATAGAGGCAATAGTGCCTAGCAAAGCATTTTATGTTCATTAAAAAACAGTCCTCTGTCAGTCTAATGCATGTCACTGCAGTTACTAGAAGGATTAAATCTCTAACCCCACGTGATTGTCCAACAATCAACTTTTAAAGCACATAAACAGGTTAATTTCAGCCAAATTTTACTTCTAGCTTGATGTCTCCTTGGGGAACGCTCCCTTTCCAGTTGGGCAGGCTTAGGGAAAGAAAGGCATTTTAATCCAAACCTCGCCCTTAGAAAGTTGATAAACAAAAACTCTCTCCTAAACTCAAAGAGACATGTGATTTTTTATTATTGACATTCCTTCTTGTTTCAAATGCTGATAATTAAAACTTCTCAGTCTTGACATGACTTCTGATAGTTTCAGACTATTTCTACCCTGTTTCCCCAAAAATAAAACATCTTCCGAAAATAAGACCTAGCGCATGGAAAGATAAGACATCCCTGGAAATAAGACCTAGCGCAACTTTGGGAGAAAAAATTAATATAAGACACTGTCTTATTTTCGGGGAAACAGGGGTAGTAATCTGGTACAAATGGTTCACTTTAGTAACCATTACTAAAGTTACATGCCAGGGATCATGTGAGGTAGCAAGGACAAAGGTGGTCTTCTGCTCTCCTGGCCATCACAGCCTATCAGGGAAGCAAGATGCACACAGCTGGCTACATACACAGCCACGCCCGCCATGTGTGTGCTCATCATTATTAATTCTAACTGGGGACAGCGGAGTGGGGCAAATGTCCTTTGAGTTGGGACTTAAAGGCTGAACAGAATTTTGAGAGGCAATGAAGTGAGGCAGAGGAGCAGTAAGAGGCCCTGGTTGGCTGGGGACAATGGTCGGGAAAGGTGGCTAGGTTGGTATTTTCAAGGGTCTTAATGAATGCCATGCTAAGAAGTTTTGAAAAAAATTCAACAAAAGGAAAATGAGTCTGAAGTAAAGCATTAAAAGCCAGAATTCAAACAAATTCAGAGAATTGGTATTTACACAAAACATCTGGGCCACAAACCTGGCGGCCACTTTCACATCTCACTCTGGGAGGAATGCTCAGTAAGCGGAGGGCAAGTCTAGAAGCAGCAGATCCAGATTCTAAAAAGGGGGTTTGCTGCTTACACCTGGTGACCCCTTAGGAACAGAAGCCAGAGCGCAGGAAGGAATGGCCGTGTGCACAACACTTTGAAAATGAATGAAGAGTTCTCACAGGTGGTAGCAGGTGTGAGGGGAATAAAATAAAGAGAGCTTGGATGGCTACCGGCACCACAATGCCAAGCCAGGATCGACACTGCTGTCGGCTCTCTTTTTCCCTGCTGGCAGCCGGATGGCTGAACAGGCCTCCCTGAGGGACCACGGCAAAAGAGCCACTCCCTACAGCTGACAGCAGGCGACTTACCGTGGGCCAGGCCGTGGATGCCAGCTACCAGGTGCTCGCCGCTGGTGGCGGCGTGGTATCTGATGTACTCCCGCTCCGACTGATGCCGGTTGTCCATCGTCTTTCCTAAGCCATCCGACAAGGTCCCCGCAAACTGCAATGGATTAAAAACAGGAGGAGAAGTGTTTTAAACCCTTAGCAGAATTTTTGTCACTTAATTATTTATAATAATAAAAGTGTAATATGCTAATTAAACTAGACATCCTTCCGGGCCAGTCTAATTAGCATATTACACTTTTATTATTATTATAGATAATTAAGTTATCTTAAGCTGGGCTGCAAGGGAAGCTCGGGTCCTGGGTGCCTGCCGGCAGCTGGAGGAAAGCCCGGGTCCCAGGTGCCAGAGGGAAGCCAGTCCGGCAGCCGAGGGAAGAAAGGCCTACTCCTGCACGAATTTGTGCATGGGGCCTCTAGTTTTAAATAAATGCCCTCCTTGCTCCTTGCTGGGATTCAGTGAATGCCAAGTGAGGGAGAGATAAACTGCTGAGTTACGTACACTGTGTGTGCCAGGAGAGTGGTTCTCAAGTATGGGACGCTTACTGGTGGACACAACGCCTGCAAACCACCACTGACATCCATCCTGACATTTACCTTCCTCGATTCTGCTGCAAACTTACCAAAAAAGTAAAGGTTTTTAAAAAAATATATATATTTTGTTGATATTTTACAGAGAGGAGGAAGGGAGAGAGATAGAGAGCTAGAAACATCGACGAAAGAGAAACATCGACCAGCTGCCTCCTGCATACTCCCTACCAGGGACGTGCCCACAACCAATGTACATGCCCTTGACCAGAATCGAACCTGGGATCTTTCAGTCTACAGGCCGACGCTCTATCCACTGAGCCAAACCAGTGTCGGCCAAAAAAGTAAAGGTTTAACCAAATGGCCTGGGGGACTGAGGCTCTCTGCTCTAACAGCCAGAGAGATACAAAATAGGAAACGTGGCAAATTACTGCTTTAGGGTTTGGCATCAAACTTTTTAGGGTAATCAACTGCCCCTAAGTAATGTCTTTTCTTTCACTTATTCACTAATTACTGAGCGCCTAAGTGCCGGCCCCATTTGTCACAAGCAGAAAAAGAAGCACATGTAAAAGTTCACAGGTTAGGTCACCTTTTATGCCAGTGGCACATGTGAACTCATGGCTTCCCATGTAAACTCCGCCCTCACCGATCAGACAGAGATTTTATTTATCCTGGCCTATTTTAACCAGAGAAGCTGTCCCATTCATCAAGGCTAGGTAAAAAGGACATAAAAGTCTGTTTTGTCACAAGACAATTTGAAAAGGTTTAAAGTGACAGTTAATAAACCACAGGGTACTTATCCTCTTCGTTCAGGCATAAAAAGGGAAGGATATCAAATATATAATTAACCTTCTCAGGAAGGATTTACCAAAACAAGTGGTTTAAGTGCCAATGACCCAGGACTAACCTTTGAGAAAACACACAGGAATGTTGCTCAGATAGAAAGCGCAGGGGCGAGATGTGAGGCCCCGAAGACCCGGGATGCTGGGTGGCCACCACGAGGCCTGCCACGTTGTGGTCGGGAGAGGGTCACACAGATCTGCAGGGACGCCCTCAGGCCTAGGCTTCCAGGTGCCAGTGACAGGGGTAGGGGCTTCTGGGTAAGAAGAGGGACTGGAGGAGGAGCAGCGACTCTATGGGAAGCAGCGGTCCCTGCAGCAGGACGCGGGAGCCCCCCTTTCCTCTACTGCCCAGATGCCTTTATGACCCAGGGCAGTGATTAAGGACCTTTCTAGAGAGGCAAGCCCTGTCATTAGTTGCTTTTTGCCTTCCCTCCCTGTCATTCCCTCATTAGAGAACTGAAAGTACATGGAAATTAGTTTTACAATTTCCTTTAGGATGGGGACCCCCTGGAGTGTTTGGAAAGCCAGCGCTGTGAATCACTAAGTGGGGCTTTTAGTCAGGAACCCACGGGCCTGGGCATCTGACCAAAACAGCTTCTAGCCCTCTCTCAGCCATTCCAGTGGCTACATGACCCCGAGGAGGAGCCCACCCTGGGCCCCTCTCGGCATCTGCAGAGCAGTGATAGCACCGCCACCGCCATGTGGCCGTGGCTCAGGGTGCAGCAGCGAGTCAGCATTCCTCCTGTTATCACCAGTCGCTCCAGTCCAAGGGGAAACACCCTGCATCATCTGAAGAACGCCTTTCTTTCAAAGATTTAGCATCATGGTCATTTACATTAGGATTTACCATCAGTAAGGAGAAAGCAACCAACCAGCCCTGTCCGGAGTGAGCTTCTGGAGTGGTACCATCTGTAAAACTGGCGCTGGCCTCGGCGGTTTCCAAAGCCCTTTCCAGCTGACAGCGGGTGATCTATGACCCAAGCTAGCATGTCTTTATCAAGCACGCATGCTGGGCCCGGCGCAGGCCTAGGTGCTGCTGGGGGTAGAGGTGGGAACAGAGGGCAGCCGGCCATAGTCCCAGTGTCGGTAAGACCCCTTCCTCCACCCGTGGACGGCCAGCAGCAACAGAACGCAAACTGGGAGTGCCCAGGAACTGCAAAAGGAGGGGGAACTATGACCCTTGTTTCTGGAAAGGGCCAAAGTGCCCTGCCATGTGCAGGAATTCTGAGTTTGTACAACAGTGCCTGCGGGATGCCTCCGGAGGTGGGGACAGGGGCGGTCGGGAGAGGTGTGAAGGGAACTCGCTGTCCTCAGAAGCACACTGTGGGGTGAGGGCTGCCTCCACCTGAAGAGTCACCCAGGCTCCTCAGGGCCTTGTTTGCATTCTCCTTACACGCCTAATCTGCTTGAAAAGAGAGGTTTCATTGGAAGAGTATGAAGCGAAGGCCCATCTACCTATCCCAGCAGCTGACTAGGAAGAAGTTAAAATTGCCAATGTCCTGTCCCCTCCCCCTAGAGAACGTGGGAGAATAAGCTAGGCAAACTGCCCCACACCAGCCCCTCTACAGCAACCCCCATCAATAAAGCAAGCCTAACACCCAAGGTTTATGAGTGAGCCTGGGCCAAAAGACTAATTGCCAACAGATTCCGCTGCAGCCGCCTCGGCCCCCAGCACTGTCTGGTAGTGGGTTCTCTGTAGAAACCACTCTGACCCCAGAAGGAAGAGATGAGAGGGTCTAAGAGAGCACTTTTCCCTTAAATGCTGGGTCTTCCATGTGCTTGCTTCTCAGGCACCGTGGCAAGGTGCCTACAATCTAGTCAACTTATTCCTACTCCTCTGTCTGTAAAGAAATTACTCATGCAAGCCAGCTGGACTTGTCCTTTGTCACTTGTGAGTAAAAGTAAAGGATACAAAGACACTAACACGAAGTGAATATAAAATCTTCACCCATGCCCTGCTGGCGTGGCTCAGTGTTTGAGCATTGACGTATGAGCCAGCAGGTCATGGCTCAATTCCTGGACAGGGCATATACCCAGGTTGCGCGCTCGATCCCCAATGTAGGGCATGCAGGAGGTGGCCAATCATTGATTCTCTTCATCACTGATGTTTCTATCTCTCACTCTCTCTCCCTTCTTCTCTGAAATCAATAAAAAATGCATTTAAAAAGATAAAATCTTCACCCTTAGGAATGTGGCTTTGAGAACCCAGAAAATATAGGAAGATGTTGAAATCTCCGATCCAACCAAACCCAGACTGATGAAGGCTAATCAGATTTTACAAAAAGAGCCATTTTATAGAAACTAAACCGAAGCCAGCCTGGAGAAGGGTCCTGTGGTTAAAGCCTGGGCCTCGGGCCAGCCGCCTGGGCTTCTGAGCGCTGAATCCAGGGCACCACAGAGCCTCCTCTCTCGCTGTGGGAGCTCTTAGTCATCTTTAATTCTCTCTCTCACTCCCACCTCAGTGGGAAAGCAAATCACACCCGGTATCTGATTTCTCCCTCAAAGACAGGGTGACAGCTTGGGCTGGAGAGGGAGGTGATTCCAGTAAGCTCGTTTATGGTGCCCTCTGGCACTGTCTTCCCTGAGGCTGCAGTGTTATTTCACCATGTCCTTGACTTTGAACATGGTCGTCAAAACAGAGCGGAGACACTTATGAGAGTTACCCCAACCCCTGGGAGTGATGGTGCAAGATATCCATCGAATTTATTTCAAAACCTTTTCAGAGCAGATGCTCTCTGGCATGTTCATGGCTGATCAAAATGGGAAATGAAGGCTCGAGGCAGGAACTCAGATCATACCCAGGAAAGCTAGTCGCGGAGGCACTGGGGGAAAGGCTGCAATCCTCAGGAGAGGAGCAGATTCAACCCAGCTATGCATCAGTCAACCAACCCCAACCCTACTGCGTGCCAGTTAGCAAGTGAGAACCATAACGAGAAGTGGTCCCTGCCTCCTGCCTTCAGGACACCAGCCAGGAGGTATGTATGTGGCACAACGGAAAGACATTCATTCATATCAGAATTCAAATTCTGACCGTGCCATTTACTAACTGTAAGGTCATGGACAATAACAGCCTCTGTGAGCCTCCATTTGTTCCTCTTTGAAATGGGGAAAGACTATCCACTTACAAGGATGTACACGGAAAGCACTAGGCAGGACATGTAAAGTACTTGCACGGAGCGTGAAGCATCAATTTCTTCATGTGCAAAATGGGAACAGTTAGATTCCACGGGGCTGTTGGGAGGACTAAGAGCGATGGCCTGCTTGCGAGGCGTTTGGCTCGGTGAGGGTGGAGGGGCATAAAGCACCGGGGCAGGGAGCATGTGCCAGGCTTGCACACAGGGAAAGGGCTAGCAACTGGGAGGTAATTTGCAGATGATTTGTAACTCTACTCGGCATAAACATAACTTCAACACCACAAGGACCATTTGCAGAGACTTAAGTCAATATAGTTCATTTTGTAGCTATTTCAAGTCCACACATACAAAAAAAAAAAAAAAAAAATCCTTAAGGCTGCAAGTGAAGAGTGTCCTTGCTAAAATGAAAGGTTCCAAGGAACAGAATGTCCTTCAGAAAACCTGCTATTACATTTGCAAAGACAACAGTGCTCTCCGCTCCCCCCCCACCCCCTGCTCTCAGCAGAGGACGCTCAGAGCACACCACACTCGTGAATTCTGGCCACAGCCTGAAGTCATTGATTTCTCTGAGGCCATATTTTCAGCCAGGGGGTAAA